GGGAGCATGTTGGCGACCCTGCTTTGAAGCTGTGCCTTCAGAGATGCATCATTCTGTGCCTTGCTCCCAGCGTCAGGATTTACCCGAAATGGGGCCCCTGGCTGGGTTGTTCACAGTCCACTTCCTTGGGCCCCGGTTTACAGCAGGTGGCTCTCAGTCCGCGGACTGAGTTCCGCGCGTAGGTAGGTTTTGGTTGAATAGTATGGTGTCAACCTGCGAGCGCTTTATGTTCGTAAAAATTAGTTGCCGGCATTTGAAAAGCTCAAGAGACTTCCTGTAAGAGTCTAGAGTTCAATCTCTCCTGGAAAAATTGGATCTTCCAGTCTGGGACCTCAATCCTCCAGAGCAGCAGTTGCCTCTTTAGATGGGGTCTGGGCCCTCCCCCGCCATTTCCCTTCTGTTTCCCCGACACTGAGGCCCGATGTTGGTGTCTCTTCTTCATGGTGCCCGTGCTGTTATTTACCTTTTCCTTTGCTTTCTTCGTTCGTTTACCCGACCCTGAACCCCATACATACTCATCCTGACACAACGGCCCTCGTGACATCTTAATGTCTCCACGCTAAGCCTACTACCTGGTGTGCAAGGTTAGGCCTAATCGCCAGCTGCTTTGGGGAGCTTCTGGGTCCCCAGAGCACGGCATATGTACCTTTGTTCCGTCCCCAGCGTAGCCGCGTTCCAGCTCAGACATCGTCTGGCTCCTTCCTTTGAAGCTCTCGTGGTGGCCAGAGCCACACTGTGGTCAGTGTCTTCGCCCTGAGCCAGACCCGCGCTATCAGTAACGTTCGCTGAATCCAATTACATCCCGCAATTATTTGGCCGCCGATATTGCCAAGCGTGACAGAAATGGTTTCCTGGAACATGAAATGAGATTGCTCTTTGTTACTGTTTCCCAGATCACCAAGCCTGGAGTGGCTTGGTTTTGGATTTAGCTCCTGGACCTAATCATTTTGAAGTCGCTACTGTGCTGGAAGGCTCAGCCTCTCTGGAGAGTTTGGTGGCTTGCATTAGTGCTTATGGAGGTGCAGGGAAGGGCCACTGCATCCCTGAAGAGGCAAGGTCACACGTGTGCGTGCGTGCACGTGCGTGCGCTGCTGAGCCGTGGGGCCGAGAAAGGCCCTGGGCCCCGTGCATTTTGAGCACAGTGCATCCCAGCTGGTGGTGTTTAACCTGGGCACGTCTAGCTCGTGTGTGGCTGTGTGACTGAGAACGAAGCGGCGTTCGCCATTTGTGGGCGAGGCTTAGAATCAAATCTGGTGTAAGTGAGTTCAGGAAAAACGCTGAAAGCAGTAGTAGTTTGAAACCCCATCTTTTGGGGGGAGACCATCCTATTGTCCTGATAACAGATGGGGACCACACGGAGCTGGTATGGACAGATCCCTAGCGGCCAGGCTGGTCTGACTCGCATCGGGCTTTCTGTTCAACACAGAGACTACTTCCAAAGCAACCACTGCCACCAGCAGCTGGATATTGGCACAGGCTTGGCTGGGGACGCCGAGTCCCCGGGAGAGCATTGAACCTTAGACATGAAAACGTCAGTCGCGTGACTTGGCCACACACACAAAAAATGACCGCGTAGACGTTCATTTTTTTTAGGCCTGGCAAGATGTTCATAAAGCTAATTGAAAGAAGCAGGATGGAGGGGCGCCTGGGTAGCTCGATCGGTTAAGCATCCGACTCTTGGTTTCTGCTCAGGTCACGATCTCTTGGTTCGTGAGTTCGAGCCCCACCTTGGGCTCTGTGCTGACAGTGCAGAGCCTGCTAGGGATTCTCTCTGTCTGCCCCTCCTCTGCTCGTGCTCTCTCAAAATGCATAAATAAACATTAAAAAAAAAATAAAATAAAAAGGATGTAGAACAGCAGCACAAGAGTATAATCCTGCGTCTTGTTTTGTTCTTAAAAAACCCGAATCCTGCACGCACCCGTGTATCTGTGTGCCTGTAAACGCGTGTGTGTAAGATTACAGAGCGGGAATCACCGTGCTCAGTACCCGAGCGATGGACTTTGGGGTGACTTTAACTTTTTCTTTGTCCTTCTCTTCACATTCCCTGATCTTTCTCAATGCCCGTATCTCCTGTGGCAAAGTGACGAAGGGGTGAGGACGGGGGCGGTGCCACCGCCGCTCACCGCACGTGTGGGAGCACAGTGGCCGGGCTCCTGCGGCGGAAGCTGCCCGTGCGCGTCCGTGGGTGAAGCCGCCACCAGGCAGACACGGAGGCAAGATGAAGCCGTTGATAGAGGGACGCATCTCCTTTCTGGAGCGTCTGGCAGCTTTGTGAGGACGGAGAAGCCGCGTGGGGTCCCGTCTGGCTCCGTCAGCCGCCGGATATTAGCTGCCTGGGTGCAGGCCTCAGGCCTTCTTTCATCCGCTCTAATCGCCATTGTGATGTCTGACAATTATTACTTTTTCTAACACTTGACTGATCTCAGTACTGATAAGGTGTCCTTTCCATAAATTTACAGGCATTGCTTTCTTGCCGGCTAGTATCTCTTATCTCCTTGGAACCAATATTTTTGGGATGCTCGCACACAAAATGGGGAGGTAAGATGACTACCGTATGCTCTCGCTCTGTCGGAATGATGTCGTTCTGGGTGTTTCGACCTGAGTTTTCATAAGTAATTGTCCTGATTTCTGTTGAAAACTTGGCAGGGGTCGGGGGGTGGGAATGGGAGCGGTCGTTTATGGAAGGTGCTTTTTTTGTTCTTTTGACAGGTGGCTTTGTGCTCTTCTGGGAATGATAATTGTTGGAATCAGCATTTTATGTGTGAGTAAAAGACCTTCCTTGACAAGTGGTAGTGGTCTCGAAAGAAAACTTCCGCTTTGGGCAAGAATCACCGGGAAGCATTTTAGAGCAGAGTGAAGTTTGTTGGCTGATTTTTATTTTTATTTTTATGTTTTCAGTGTTTTTTGTTTTGAGAGAGAAAGTGCACCTAAGCAGGGGGAGGGGTGGAGAGAGAGAGAGAGAGAGGGAGGAAGAGAGAGAGAGAATCCCAAGCAGGCTCCACACTGCCAGCGCAGAGCCTGACGTGGAGCTCGAACCCACAAACCGGGGGAGATCATGACCTGAGCCGAAATGCAGAGCTGGTCACGTAACTGACTGAGCCACCCGGGCGCCCCAATATTTGGTTTTATTACATTTTTAATTTTCCTCCAATTTTTTTATCCTCTTAAACATATTGGACCAGGTTCTCCAAGGGATACATTTACATTCTAGGTCAGCTGCAGGTTATTTAGGACGGTTGGTTGCATAGTTATATTTCACTTCCCCAACCCCCCATCATCGTCAATATTACAGTGTCTTTAAACACTTTGAGCCGACTAGCCTGAAACAGTAGCAAGATTTTTTTTTTTCTAGAACAACACATCTTCTACCAACAGCCGGTATCTACCCCCAAGTGAGGCCTTCTGGCCCTTGTCGGGAATGGAGCGTGGTCCGGGCTGGTCTTAACTACAGCAGTTAACGAGGCTGTTCTTGGTGGTCACAAAACCCATTTCAGGTTCGACTTCTGAGATCTTGGAGGACCCAATTCTCCCCAGACCCCATCCTCCTCCTTCCCCCTAGTTCCTACTTCAGAAGGGAACACGCAAACCAGGCCAGAGAAGACCCATCTTTAGGCTTTTCCCAGAAGCTTTACGTTGGATGTCATGATTTTAGTGTGACGGGTATTTCCTCTTACAGATTCCTTTCGCAAAAAACATTTATGGACTCATAGCTCCTAACTTTGGAGTTGGTTTTGCAATTGGTAAGTCACCTGTAGAACTTTCTTTTCCCCATTAGTCAGAAAGATTTCCTCTTATTGGGGCAGACTATCTATCGTTCCTCAACCTAAAATTTCTAGAGCTCGGGAGGAGGCTGTGGGCTGCCAAACTCAAGTACTGCCTGTCAGTTGTCTACGGATAGATACCTGCTTTCACATACTAGTCCTTTATTTTCTGAAAGCCAGTATTTGTATAAACCCTGCTATTTACAGAAGCAAACGGATACTCTGTTGCTGCCCTTGGGCAAACAAGAGAACCCCCTCACTCAGAGCCACCTTTGTTTGGGCTCAGATCTGTGCACAGATGAGAACCCCAGGGACAGAGACTTCATGTATATTTTTATAAGGTCTGGTACAGTAAAGGTGGCCTGGTGTATCAACGGCCACCCGTGCTGCGGGAATTTTCACCGGCAAAGGGGACGGGGTCTTTGGATGTGAAGAACCATGTATGCTGGAGACAATCTTGTTAATATTTTGCATGAATAGGATACCTTTGTTTCTCATTTATAATATACAGATTGGTCGTCATAAAAGTAAGGGCTAAATCTGTCACAATTGCCAAAGGCTAGAACTGAAGCTTTGAGTGGTGCAGTGGAAAAGGCAGAAGGGAGCCTTTGGGGATTCCCCGGGCGGGTTAGGTTTGCCCTCCCACAGCACCTCATGGCTTCGGTGACAATTGGAATTCATTTTTGAGCTCTCGGGGGCCCGTCCCACTCTTCTGTCCAGTTTGTTCACCCCGTCCCCGTCCCCAGCACGCGGCACATATTAGGTGATCAACAAATACCGATTGAATGAAGGAACGTCCCTCCTCTTCCAGCCTCTAGTAGTAGGTGGAGGTGAGGGAATGGACGTTTGACTGGTCTGCTGGTGGTGCCCACAGATGGGGTCTCATTTTAGCTGATTGTTATCAGCCCCATTTTATGGATGGGGAAACCAGTGTTCAGCTAGACGAGGAACGGCCGTGCCCATCCCGCCAGGGACGTGAGCCCAGGACTCTGAACACACATGCTTTTTTCCTTTACTCTTTCTTTATTCTGCCTGTCCCTGACTGTTCACGAGCTAGGAGATTCTGATCCCGGCCTTACTGGTGGTGATTGTTTGTTTAAGCCCCCGGGTTGGCAGACCTCTTTCAGTCTGTTCTCTGAGCAGGGCACGGTGACCCCCTCAGACGCCCTCGTGTTCTGATTCCTTCCCATCTTCCCTGATACTTTCCAACTTATTCTCATAGTCCGAGTGTGAGGCTGAGGTGTAGATGGGGAGGGGAGTGTGTGAGGCTTGTAGGTGTGCCCCCTGGGGGAAGGTGAGGGGCTGTGGAACCCGGAGAGAGTTAATCTGGAAAGCACCAGCTGGAGGAAGGCGAGGGGCCACACAGCCAGTAGCCAGCACCCCACTGGATGTGAAGCCTGGTCTGTGAGTCACCAGAGGACGGGGCGCCCTCTGCTGGAAGGCGGGGCCTTCAGACGGTGGGGGCCAGGTGGGGCCAGCGGGAGAACAGGCACAGGTGGCCCGGGTTCCAGCCCCAGCCCCAGTGACCTGCAGCCTGTCTTCAGTGAAGGGTATGCCTTGGGGAGCCTGCCTTGAGACTCACAGGTGGTGATGACAGAAGGAGAGCCGCTGGCGGGGTGGGGGGTCAGGACACTGATACTTCCCGCGTTTTCGGGCTACGTCGATTTTCTGTAGACCGTGTTCCCTGCCCGTCCACAGGAATGGTGGACTCCTCAATGATGCCCATCATGGGCTACCTGGTAGACCTGCGGCACGTGTCTGTCTACGGGAGCGTGTATGCCATTGCGGACGTGGCCTTCTGTATGGGATATGCTATAGGTAAGGAAGGACCCTGACCTTTCACAACAAGCTTTTATCTTGATGCATGATAATGCCGACCGGAAACTGTTTAAACTTTGGTGTCTTTCTGTCTGGGAGGCATCTGGAGAGAGCTTTATCTCCTTCTCTGTTTCCTGAAAGGTCCTTCGGCTGGTGGGGCTATCGCAAAGGCGATCGGATTTCCGTGGCTCATGACGATTATTGGAATAATTGATATTCTTTTTGCTCCTCTCTGCTTTTTCCTTCGAAGTCCACCTGCCAAGGAAGAAAAAATGGTAAGAGAATTTTAGGACGCAACTCTAGTGTTTCTTGATCATGTTGGCATGGTCTTCTGGATGGTTCCTTCATGGCTCAGTTAGAAAGTATATTTCTGCTCCTTTGGGGCAGAACTCCCCAAACATAAAGGGTCAGAGTTCCTTTGGCGTTTATACCGCATAGGCCATGCTTCTTTTACTGTATCAAACATTATGTTTATAAATGTGAAGAATGAGGTGATGTTTTGGTACATAGATTAGCAGTCTGTATAGCTCTTTTGTCAACCAGACATGGAGTAGTTAAAATTTTTTTTTTTTCTTTTCAACGTTTTTATTTATTTTTGGGACAGAGAGAGACAGAGCATGAACGGGGGAGGGGCAGAGAGAGAGGGAGACACAGAATCGGAAACAGGCTCCAGGCTCCAAGCCATCAGCCCAGAGCCTGACGCGGGGCTCGAACTCACGGACCACGAGATCGTGACCTGGCTGAAGTCGGACGCTTAACCGACTGCGCCACCCAGGCGCCCCATGGAGTAGTTAAATGTAATTGCCTTTAGTTCTTGAAAATCTCGAACATAACTTTTTTTCCTTTCTGCACCGAGTCCTGAGATGAGCCATTTTGGGTGCCGTTTGCTTTTCCCCTAAGCCTTACGGCTTTCATTAATAGTGTTTTCGTTCTTACTGCGTAGGATTCTGGAGAGGGTTTTGGTGTAGGTAACAGAGCGTTTTGGGAAACTATCGTATATGTACCTTTGGGCACACGTGAGCATGTGTAACCTTTAAATTCACAGTTTCATAACCAGAATCATGACTAAATGATATGGTATCGAGGATAAAGTGTTTAGAACTTCCTGGTTCTAAACTTGAATTTCAGAATCATTTTAGTCATTTAGTCATTTTAACCTGATGAGCGTTCATCCCTGGTGGTGGTGTTGCTGGGTTTTAAAACCTCCCGTGGTGGCAGACCCTCGTCTAGCAGGATGAGAGTGGCAGGTTAAGTTAAGAATGAAGGAGATAACGGAGGCGAGGGGAGATGGTGTTCTTGTGATGAGTGGATATGAGGTTCACTTGTGATGTTCTCTTGGGGGCACATCAGAAGTTCTTTCTGACGGTTGAATGGAAATGGGTCTGACGCTTTGGCATTTCTTGAACTTCCCTGTTACGATTTTCCCCAAAGAGTGGGTCTAAAAACAGACACAGACTCTAAAGTTAGGTTACGTGCAGCCTTTATTTGTCTGGGGTGTTCTTTGTATTCATTAATTTGTTCAATATATTTTGAAAATATTTTCAGAAAAAGAGTATATTCAGCACCGATCACTCTATCGTGTGCCCTTTATTATATAGGATTTAACTGGATAATTTGGTATTACTCATGACCCATTTGAAAGAAGAGGAGTGGAAGGTGTGGAAATATTCCGACGGAAATCACCTCTTCTTTCCTTCCTCTTGCTTACATGGCCCCACTTCTGAGCAACCGTAGCACTTTACTGTTCATCCTACCCGTCTCCTCGCCTGAGCCCCGCATGGTAGCTTGCCCAAATCGGGGTCGGAAAAGGGGGTTACTCCCAACCCTTTTTGGACCAAAAAACACAAAGACAAAATCGCCTACAAGTTCTTTCACCCAGGAGACTGTTTAATAAGATTCTTGGGAAGTAATGAAGGGCTAGTGGTGGCCTTGGAGCCACACTGTCATGTGGGGACAGGATAGCATCTCCCTTACTGGGTTGTCGTAAGGATTCAGCCAAGAATCCCAGAGTGCTTAGCCCTGTGCTTAGTACACAGTGGATGCTCAATAAGTGCGTTACTATTTCCAGCACCACCTCATGCTGCTTTCCTGCTTCTGCCTAACGCCCTGATTTACTGTCCGCCCAGAGGCCCCCCTGGTGTCCCCCCCCCCCTTTCTCCCTCCTGTGAGGCGAGAGCTTCCTTTTGCTCCTGAGACCTCTGAACTGCTGAATGGGCTTCCTTAGCCAAGCAGCAGACGTTAGTGGCCCCTGTGCCGTGTGTCGGTGTCAGCGTGGTGGCTTATCTGAGGTGTTGGAAGAAATAAGTGAGGTCAGGGGATGGGGGGTAGAGGGGGACAACCCCCCTGGGCCAGCTGCTGCCCTGGAGTCCACGTGATGACTGGCAGAAGGCCGACCTCAGCACCCTCTCTCTTCCCTCGTGTTAAATCAGCGCTTTTGTTCATTTAAAAAGCGAAATGCCGAAGGGAGTGGAAGAGACGATCTTGAAAGGCAAGGCAGCAAAAATTGTAGGCTTCCCGAAAGGCACTTTCGCTGCCAAATGTCAAAAATCCGTAATAAGTGCCTAGCAAGATGAATCATTAAAAACCTGAGAAAATGTGCATCTCGCTGCCCGTCACTGATGCCCATAATTGAAGGCATCACATTGGATTCCATTTGACTCGCGTAATGGTAACATTTGAGGGTGGCCAACAGCAGTTGCCTATTCCCTGAGCAAGCGGGGCAGGAAGACGCCTAATGATAAGGGGGAGTGAGGCCGGGACAGCAGTGTGCCAGGGAGGAGACAGAATTGATTATTGCTCACTTGAGAGAATCCAATACCGACAAGTGCGGGCGTTCAGGATCAGCAGTTACCAAAGGCAGGCGGGCAGATAAGCCTGAGCAAATCATTCTTTCATTAGGCGGCCTTCTGAATAGCCTTCAGCTATTTTATATTGAAAGATCTAAAGCTGTTTTCATGGGTCCCAAATCACACAATCGTGAACTAGCGTGAGAGCGCTTGAGTTTTTCTTCCGTTTGGTGTCCTCGACTACTGGCTTTTTTTTTTTTTTTTTTTTTTTTTTTTTTTTTTTTTTTTTTTTTTGTTCTCTGCAAGTATAAGAAATTCCACTCTGCCGTTTGAGGACAACTGTGTTCTAGTTCTACGACAGTGACATGCAGCCCGTGATTCTCAGAATACCCAGTTGAGGATGGCTGTGTGCTGGAACGGATATTTTTTCCAGGTTAAAGAATTATTTGTAAAGATAGGGCACATTTCTTACAACTTACTCTTGAAGTTTCTAGTGGTGGCCCAGACAGGAAAGTAGGGGTTTGGGATTGCAGCTTGCTTTTCCTGGGTGGCTCCGGGCTTTCTCCTCATTGTTCCAGGGTCCTTCCAGCCACCCTGTTTTCTGAATGCAGGGGCCAGGCGAGGACCTGAATATTATCATCTATTTATAGAAATGGGTCCCTCTGTGGGGCATTTATGTAGTTGATGTGCAAAACCCTCACCATTTTTTTTTTTTTTTTTTTTTAAGATACAGTAAATAAAACTTTCTAGCATTCAGGCCTGGTAGCTCTCAAAATCTCAAAGCCTGGAGGGCTTACTGTTCAGCTTTTATTGTCTCAATATTCCAGCTGTGTATTTGCTTCATTTATATACTTCATTTAGTCCAACAAGGCTTTTACCACTTTGGAGATCCTCACTCTGTGTCTGATAAGAAACCAGGCATCTGGCAGGGGCTGGGGTTCAGCTCTCAGTGACTGGGCTCTGCTCTGAGTTCAAAGAACTTCCTCCTTTCTCTCTTCAGTCCGGAGTCAGACATGCCTCTGTTGCCCAGCAGTGGCACGGAGAGCTGGCTTAAATTACCCGGCGGCCCTTGTGGCCCCCCATGCACTTGATTTACCAGCTGCATCCTGTTCACGCCTCTCTCTTCCTGGCCCTTTGGGAATACTACGTATGCTGCCTGGCTTCTTTGGTCATGTAGACGTTATTATAAAAATAGAACTGCCATACAGTCGTGCCCAGCGTTAGGTTTCGGGGGTCCTTAAGTCTGCATATATGCAGAGTCAGGTCTAATGATGGTTGAACCAAGAGAGAGAAGGTGGTTATGAAGAGGGTCGAACGATGGCCATCCGTCCCAAGGCTGTCTTACTGCCTGTGGGCCAGAGGTCAAGGTCCCTTGCCTGGCATTCAAGGCCCTGCAGTCTGGTGCCGGGTGGGCCTTCTAATTAACATCTCGCTGTGTGTACCTCATCATCAGACCTCTGTGGTGGCCAGGCCGGCTTCCTTAGTGTCCCTGTTTTACACAGTGTCTCCTTTAGTAGATGATCTATGCTGTGCTCACGTCCAGCTCCTTTGCTGTGCACACCCTTTCCGCCCTTCGAGGTTCAGCTGGTATCCTGTCTCGTACAGCTTTCCCTGAGCACTTCATCCACAGCAAGCGTTTCCCCTGTGAGCACTGTGGGACTTGCCCTTCCTATGCAGTAAGGTCACTGACCTGCTGCTATAGGACCTTGGGGGCATGCAAGCAGGTGCCCAGCGAGCCGTCGTCAGCCGTAGGGCCCTCTGTAGTTCTAGATGATGCCACATCACTGAGACAGTGCTTCTCCTAGCGTGTCGACACCATTGTCATGAAGGGTTAGGGACCCGACTGGAATTTCATGTTTAACTCTCCCTTCCCCTCGCCCCCCTGTTGATTCTCGATATTTCTTTGAGGATCACTAACCTGGGGAGAGGAGATGTGCTCTTTGGGGGTTAAACGCTGGGAGAATGGTGCTGGGGTACCATGTCTGTTGCCTCAGTTACTTAGTTTTAGACTTTGAGCTCTTTATTAAATACACGTATCAATTCACTTGGCAAAAAGTATAAAAACAGTGTTAAATTTTGCAGCTGACAGTTTGAGCTGGCGGCCTGACTTATAGGGTCACGGAAGTCCTTTATCTTAACATGTCACCCAGGCAGATCACTGTAGATTCTCTCAGGAAATGATACACGGGTTAGCACTGAGGGGAGTTACAGAAGGTCTCAAATGTGTAGAGCGGGACCTGGGGGGTGGGGGGCGGGGAGTAGTGGACAAACACAAAGATAGGTTTCAGTGGGCTCATATCAACAGAGAAATGTCTCCATGTAGATTTTCACACCGCACAACGTCTTGGGGGAATTATTTACTTGGAAGAAAAGTCCAGAAAACACACCTGATGGGAGCATCTCCTTCGGTTGCACGCAGCGTCTCCTTGCCGTGCTCTGGCCCTTTTCTGCCTCCGCCCCGGAGCCCTGCGAGAGTAGATCGCGGCATAAGGCTGCCTGGCACGCATCTGTCCCCTCCCAGCGGTGCATCCCTGGTCACGTTCTTTGATCTCTGTGCCCGCACAGGGTTACCCGCCTACCAGGTGGGGCTCTCGTGGAGCTGCGGTGTTGTGGCAGGAATGCTTAGCGTGGTCCCGGTCCGATAAGGGACGGCTGTCTTCTCAGACTACATGCTTGGTCTGCACACTTTCAAGAGAATAATGACTGCATGGGTTTATCGATTGAGGATCAATGGACTGTTTTTACATTTTTAGTGACAGTGAGAAGGCATAAGATTTTTATGGGCATCAGAGGAATTTTTTTTTTTTAAATCCTACATTTGGACAAGCGGAAGACCTCTAGGATTTGGAGGAGGGGTGCTCTGGAAATGCTATTTATGAAAACGTACGGGCCCTGTGATGTCTAGTGCAGGGAAATCTAAGGGACCGTGGCTGTGGTCTGAAAATACTGGAAGGGCAGCCTGCGAAGATGGCTGCAGTCAGAACCAGATCCACATACATACACAGTGGAGGCACATTTCCAGCGTGGGAGTTTGCCTCGTTAAGGACAGAGCGTGCCGATTAAGGGTGTTGCCACAGTGAACACCTGGCGCCGTGTGACTCCAGCATCCCCCCAATTCCGAGATTCCAAATAGAATTCCTAAACGGGGGCGCCCGGGTGGCTCAGTCGGTTAAGCGTAGAGCTTCGGCTCAGGTCATGATCTCGCGGTCTAGGAGTTCGAGCCCCGCCTCGGGCTCTGTGCTGACAGCTGAGGGCCTGGAACCTGCTTTGGATTCCGTGTCTCCCTCTCTCTCAGCCCCTCCCCCACTCATGCTGTCTCTTTCTCTGAAAAAGAAACATTAAAAAAAAAAAAAAAAAAACTCTTCCTAAACGTAACCCGCATAAGCCCTTGCTGCATGGCTTTAGGGTGCCCGTGGCCCAGGCGGAAACCACTTCTGCAGTCTCTCCCGTTGCCTGGGATCCTCCTGGAGCGTCCAACCCCGCAGCTTCCGGGCCAGGCAACCTGGCAGTTGCACCCAAGGACTGGTTCCCATGGGGTGGTGTCATCTACAGCCTTCAAACTAGTGATCCTCAAAAATGGTAGGTTGAAACCATCTTATCTTTGTGAAACAAGATCACCATATGTGCACTCTGCTGTCTTTCAGGCTATTCTCATGGATCACAACTGCCCCATTAAGACAAAGATGTACACCCAGAATAACATCCAGTCGTATCCGATAGGTGAGGATGAAGAATCTGAAAGTGACTGAGATCCTCAAAAGTCGTCAAAGTATTTATTTGTACAAAACAGTGTTACCAGTGAAATGACTCCTCCAGAACTTAGTCGCACCATCGTCCCTGGCGAAAGCCAAACAACCAAAGGTTATTCATTCTTCTCCGTGGTTGTGATCGATTGCCAACAGCCTTATAAAGAAAAAGCAGCTTTTCTAGGGGTTTGTATAAATAGTGTTGAAAACTTTATTTTATGTATTTGATTTTATTCAATATTATACAATATATTTTGACGAAATATAGTGTAAATCTATAAATATTTGAATCCAAATCAAATATAATTTTTAAAAAACTTACATTCATAAACACTTGGGCAAAAGAATCGTATATTTTTTCTGAATATTGGTAATGGGTGTTTAAAATCAAAGCACACATTATCTCTGAGACACTTCCAACACTGAGAAACCAGAAGGAAGTCTGAGAAACAGAATCAAGTAAGACAGCATATTATGTAGTGACGCTGCGTGTGGTTAACTTGTAATTACTATCAACATATTTATGAGTTAAGAGCTAGTTACCTCAAATGCAGAGGACAGGAACTTGGGTCCGTCATCTTATGGACTTACCCATAAATCGTAGCTGGCATTAGTTTTCTTTGTAACCATCTACCTGGAAGCAGATGGTTTCAAATTACACGTTTACAAGTCACGTAATTTGGTAATTTGGCACTAGAGCCAGAAGGAGAAAACTAGAAAATAGTCCAAAAGCGGAGAAAAGCACCCAAAGTATAGTTGTAGAACTAGCTTTCCCTTTAAGATACATACTGGATTGTCTTACTGGATGAAAAGTGAGGGTAGAGATCCCTTATACAGACAAGATTAAGCAGGATCGCTATATTAACGTCTCGTTCAAGTTTTAGACATTTAAAAGGCTAATCGCTGCTATGATGTGAAAAAATCAGACCACGTACCTTTGACCTGTTAAGAGGCCATCCAAGTGTTTTATAGGTATCTGTTAAATTTTCATCTGTAACTATTATTTTTTAGACTTCTGAAAGTTGTTCAAGTTGACAAATTTTAAAGGAAGATGGAGGAAAGAAATCTTGAATCACATTAGGGAAAACAGGTTAAAAAAAAAAAAAGTGGTCAGGACACATCCCCTTTCAAAGACAGAAAAACCCCAAACATCTAGAAAGGCGTATGTATTCTCGTGTCTAGTGTTGTGCAACGTGGTTTTTCTAAGCATGACGACATTGATGTGCCTTTTCAACAGCAAATAACTGTGTTAATAGTATCGTCAAAGTCAGTTGACATCAGGTTTTGTAGGAGATGTGATTGGAGTGCGCAGATAGTGTAGAATGTCGCAAATACTTGTGAACTCTGTAGCTCTGTAATCAGAAATTACCTAATGTCTGTTCTTTGTTAAGCTAATACTGTGTTTCTGTTAACTTGGACAAGGAGCCAAGAACTTGAGAATGAGGACTCCTCAACCTCAACCTTGTAATTCTCTAGAAGTAGCTAATCCGGTTTCCATTTGCTTTAGGAAGCTTTTCTGTGGGGTTTTGAATGATTTGAAATCTGGTTTTCAAGGGCAGCGATGGAAGCAAATGAACGTCACATACTTGCCTTGGGCAACTTAAATCTGTGACTCTGTAAAAAGATGGATGGGGAAGCGCTCGCCTATGGCGAACCTAAAACCGCGGGATTGTTTTCTCCCACAGGGGAGACCCCCTTGGGGAACGTGCTACAGGTTTGTGGCTCTCCCTGACCACAATGCTTTATTCCAATTTTAGTCTTGCCTCTAAGGCTTCAGTTCCTTCAAGAATGACTGGCAGAGGCATGCCCACTGTTGATCTCCAGAGAGAAGACAAAAGAGACTGGAGTTTTTCAAAACTGTTTTAGCAGCAAAGGTATCCATTATATCTGAGGGGGTAAAATTGCAAGGTCTTTTATAGGACTGATATCCTGGGGTTAGCAAGACTATGAAGTGACGCTTTTTTTTTCTTCTTTTAATGTATCAGAACAAAGAACATACAGCTCCCTGAACGTTTTATTTTTTTTGAGCAGAGGTGGGTCATGTTTGTACCTGGCAAACAGATACAAAACCACTAATGAGGTAGCAAAGAATATTCAGTTCTTTCGACTGCTAAGTGTATGTGCCTGTTTTAGCTCGTTTCCTTAATAAATCTTCTGAACACTACTGTGCCTGTTTGTATTTCTTTATAAACCAGACATTATCGCTGGAATAAAATACACTTTAAGGTATTGTCTTGACTGTGAATACCTAATTAGGAACTATTCTTCTCTGCTTACAGGCATCAGGTAAATTTCACTCCAGGTTAGTCTGAAACCCTACTTTTTGGCTTTGGAAACAAAATTTGCTTTCAACTGAAATCTGTAACTAGTCACGTAATATCCTTGTGGAAAAGCCCAGTAAGTTATCCCTGCATTTCTAAGGTTAGATTGTTTTCCTGACTGCTGTGAACAAGTACATCTGATGAAAGTAACTATAATTCACAGCATAATTCTGATTCCCAAATAATGCTAACACGTTGTTCAGCTTGTCTAACCTAATCCTCCATCTAAATATCAGAAATGCAGAAAACAGTCTAATTTCTAATAGGGTTAAGAAAAAAGAAAACAAAACACCGGAACTTAATGCTTTTAGGCTGATTTCAAACTAGCAATTTTGTTCAGCAAGAGAGGACTTTGTGAAGACATTGTTTGCGTGGCCGAATTCTACCCGGCGATGATTCCAGAGAGATGTAGCCAATCCCCTCGTTCAGAGGTTAGCAAATGAAGATATTCTTGTTTTCTGTGGTAGTTCTTTTTATTATTTTTAGCTATTGATAACATAGCATGGCAGCAAGATTACATCAGGAATGTAATAGAATACAATTATTTCAGAAGCCTTACCCCTCACTACCCCTAGGCTGCTTGTAGTGACCCCCCCCTCCCCTGCACTCAAGTACAGCCATGATGCCACTACCTCAGTAGATATAAAAATATTGCACTACATTAAAGGTAGATTTTACAAATATAATCAGCAGCATTACCGAGCTTTTCGTAATTGTGGTTCTACAGAGTTAAATACTTTTGAAACAGGAGATTTTTAGGAAACCAAGATTTTGCGTTATTCCTGCAGCTCTTTTCAAACGCACCAGCTTCAGCAGCATGCCTGGCTGTCACTAAAGCTTCTGTGGTGTCATCCGTCCATCAACACCAGCCACTTACAGACACTGACCTTCCAGGTTATCACCGGTAAGTTATTTCTTTATAAAAGTTGGTTATTACGTTGGGCACACTGTTTCAAGCATATGTTACAGAACCATTTTTAGCTTTCAGAGAAGTTGGTGTATAAAGACTTCTACAGCAGCGTTCATTTAAAATGCGAGCATGCTTAACTAAACAAAACGGGATACACAGACTTTTGTTCTATAAACTTGGCCAATAAACGTATTTCCTAGTATTTCACTTCATAAAAAACAGCAAGAATGAGAACTGGCCATTGATTCTAAAAGTGGAATAACTTTTCTACCCTCAAACATGTTTCTGTGCTCCGTAAGAGTCATACTCTTTTTGAATAGCTTTTTACTGTTTGGAGCACTTTTGCCGTTCTGTTCTCCTCACGATGATCCTGTGAGGTAGTTAGTATTGTCTGTTCCTACTTCGGAGCGGGGGAGACTGGCACAGAACACTCTTGTGCTTAGTTCACTCGTGGCCACTGGAAGAGTTTGAACTTAAACTTTCATCTGGAGTCCTAGGCTGGAGACCTGGACCAGAACCCTTACTAATTTACTATGCCATCAAAACTGTCCCATCTAGATTCAAAATTATGTCAGTTTTTACTGTGGATCAATTATCAAAGTAGTTCCCTACAGAAGGAAAACAGACCTATAAAAGGCCAGAACTTCTATGGTATAACCAATAGTGGCCACGCGTTACTGGGGTCTACACGACGGACCGACTATCCAAATAGATCCTTGTCATCAGAGAACTGACCCCAAGTCCTATGTACTGTACTGTTAATTTTTGTTTTCATTTTTAAACGAATGACGACAGCACTGCAGAAGCACCTGGAGGAATCACTACTCCTTTAATCTGCAGCAGGTCAGAGAAGCGATAAATAAATCTACCTTGCGTGATTCCTCTCCTTCACAACATCCTCCCGCACGAAAAGGTTTCTAAAACAAAACAGCCAAAGTCAGTTATCAACACGGTCATTTTAAGAACAGGCCTCTGAAACTTCATCCTTGACATGCTTTATTTCCCATGGGAGAACTAAAGATGGAAAAAAAAATCATAAATGTTCAGAACTTCCATTTAAAAGGAGAAAGCATCAATCAACCTTTTAAAAGATTAGATTTCAAAATCCTACCAGTTACTGTTTTTTAGTGATCTTGTCTAAAAAATTCTTGCCCAACTGCATTCTTTATTCCCTATTACATTTTGTTTTGCAATGCAACCTCTTCAAATTAGTAACTATATTCTCACTAAAACTGCACAAAAACTAGAAAAAAATTCACAGGATAGAAAGCAAGCAATATATGTAATTGTTTTTTCTTTTTTTCTTTTTTAAATACTAAATCAGTGTAACTGACTAAAGCCACAGCATCGGCTTTTGTTACATTTGGCAAAAACACCCCCCCCCCGCCCCCCAAGCCCCAAAACAACAAAAATCTCGAGCAAGTAAACTTCCTAACACAAAGATTCAAAACCTGTTCCCTCAGTGATTGCCGTTGTCAATCTGGGCAGCAAACTCGTTAGAACCGTGATGGAAATGAAAACAGTTCAAGAATTTGGACAGTATCCTACATAACACTAACTCAGAAACTAAGATGAAGAAAAATAACACGAGACATCACACATACATAAACATGAAAAGTTAGCTTACATAATTACATAATTAGAAAAAGTTAAAAATAAATTAGTAAAAATAAATTCCCAGTATAAACCCAAAAAAGCATAGCTATAAATGCAATCCGAAACAACCATTTTAGTGAGCTGGTCATGTTTTCGCTGGAAAACCACCTTTTTCACTCTTGTTCCTACGCAAGCAAATGACTGTGGAGCAGTGGGCCGAAGTGCTTTGTAAGAGGGTTTAAAACGTGGTTTATCTGTGGTACTTTAGATGCGACTTTTCCCCAATCACTTGAGAGTATTTAAGCGGGCTGTCTGTTAAACAGACTCGGATGGGCCAAACAAGCCCTCTGATATGCTGCTGAATGGCTGGGAGTCGATCAGCTGGGTTATTTCATTATCAAGATCTTCTTCTGTATCATCTGTGTACTTGCTTATTTTTTTGGAGGGCTGGTCTAAAGACAGACTTTCTAAAGATTCCAGGTCTTCAATGCCTGCTCTGTAGTGGATCATGAGAAGTGTCAGGGCTTGTAGTCTTTCACCTGATTTCGCCAGAGCGGCAGAAAGAAGTGATTTTTTCCTTGTATCGGTTGTTTCCTTTTCTTCTCTAACAAGGGAATTATTGTGTTCCAGCTCCTGGTCAATTTCATTCTGCAGTTTATCCAGCATGAACTCAAGTTTCTGGATCCTCTCCTCCGTAGGCAAACCCCTGTACAGATCGCGGCCGATTTCTTTAACTGCAATGAAAACGCTGTCGTCCAGACCACCCTCCTTTCTCACCAACTTTATTCCTGTGTTGTTCCCCCGTTTAGAAGGACTGTTCGGACCACACACCTCTGTGTCGCTGCCTTCGTTGTCTGATGTGTTGGGTGTGTGTTTTGGTGAAGGCTCCACCAGCTCAGTTCCTGGTTCGGAAAGGCGAGTTTTAGAGACCTGGCGCAGATTTAGCAAACGGGAGCTCGTATTGATAATATGTCTTGTCAAACCTGTTGTTTTGTTGACTGACTTGCTAGCTTCAGCATCGACACGAGGAGGCAGGCCTAAGAAGCTTTCCTGTCCTTCCAGCCTGAGGTTTTTCAGGGTCCGGTCTATCCGCCTATCAGCTGCTCCGCAGAGAGGAGTCTCGGCTAGACACTTTTCCTGACATTTTTTATGGCAGACGTAAGCACAGAACATACACTGGGAGGCAGCTTTAGTCCACACTTTTTTCTTACAGTAATCACACCAAGTTGGGTTCTGGAACTGAGTATCCTGGAAACTATGTTTGTTTTCTGTCAAGCCCATCTGTCCAACGAGATGCTCCTCTTTGGGTAGGGCAGGAACCTCTTCGATCAAATGGAGGTCTTTCTCTTTCTCTAAGTTAGGGACGACAGGGTGGTCTGGCTCTCCTTCTTTCAAGTATTTGAAGTGAATAGTAATGTCACCAAAGCAAAATTTGTCATTGAATCCCTTCTGCACACTCAGACTGCGCAGGGCGGTTCTCGTGACCATCGCCTTAGGTGAGGGGGCTTCCAGTCGGAACTTTGAAAAGTATTCCATGTTTGATGTCGCCAGACATCCTAGAGCCACGTCTTCAAGTTTCAGGCTAACGTGCCCCAGACAGATAAGACCCCCTAACTTGAAGGGATCCCTGCACCACAGGGCAACGTTTAAGTACCTGTGGCAGGCTTCTATGTCAAAGAGACAGGTTGCTCTGCTTCTGGTCCATTTTCCTAGCTTATTTCGGTAAGGGATTTCTGACGATTCCCATGTCTGGGGGTCATCTGAACTGTCCTTGGGAGGGCAGGAACTTTCTGATGGAAAATCTCTCACCACGTCTTGCTTTGCTAAAAACTGCTTCGATGCAGCCGCGTCTTCCGTGTGATCTGTAGTTTTTGCTTGCTTCTCAGCAGGTTTATCTGCAGGAGGAGGAGGCAGCACCTTTTCTGGCTTTTCAGCGGGCACATCTGGTTCTGTCTGACTTGGGGCGTCGGCAGAAGGCAAAGGGACTTTCACCTGTGGTCGTGGTGGGACGGGTGGTTTGAAAGTGGATCCTTGGGTGGGTTTTGACACTTGTGTGGGGTCTGTTACCTCAGAAGCTTTTAGGGCTGAGGGTTTATTTCCTTCTTTGCATGGAGGTTTTGGTGGGGGAGGGTGACTTCCTACAGCTAATTTACGGTTTAAAACCGGTGATATCGTTCCAAGGGGTTTAACAGAAAGTGTTGTTGGAGTACGTTTGGGACTGTGACTTAATGACGGTGCCTCATCTTTGAGCTCAGTTTGTGCTCGGACATCACCTGCCAGGTCTTCAAATTCAGAGTCCAAATCTCTGTTCTCAGTATCCGCTGCCAAGGCAGGTGTCTCCTCCTCATAGTTCGGTGGGCATGAGGCCGACAGGAAGTGTTCCTCCAGCTGTCCGAAATGATCCTGCAGGGCCGTGCCCTGGCCGCTCTGGCCGACGGGCCTTTCGTAATACACCAGGACCCGGTCGCCGGCCTGCTTGATCAGCTTCAACACTTGCAGGGTAGAGGTGATTTTCACACCTGTTGAAAGATTTTAAAAGGGAAAATATGTAAATTACTGCAAGGAAAATCACCTACCTCTGCTGAATCGAACTGCCATCAGTTCAGGATTATGGAAAAGCAATACGTAATTGTGCCGCACGATCAAATTCTGAGACCAATGCTTGAAGTAAATTTAGCAAAAATACTTTATCATGAACAGCGGGCCCTTTCGCATATTTTTATTAACCCTACCCATCAAACTAAGCTTTTTGTCAGGATCAGAAAGAACAGGGAAGGCACAAGTTGCTTTAAAGTTAAACAAGCTGGTTACTATCTGCATCAATAGTATGAGCTTAAATTTTCCTTTTATTATGTTCTAATAGGTGCCACATGAACAGTTTGGAATTCAAAACGTATAGAAAGACTTAGAGTGAAAAATCTCCCTTTTGCCTCTATTTTGCAACCATACTGTCCCATCCCTGAGACAATCAAAGCTAGTAGCTTCTCTAGTCTTCTCATCTAGGTTATCTTTAAGGCTCTCTCTTTCCCGCCCTCTTCCCACCCTGCCCCAAACGGTACTTATCCAAGCTACCCCTTTCTGTAGGACTTAGAAAAGGGGAGAAGGGGTCTTTGCTTTCCAAAGGTCTTAGGGCCACCCTAAATACATCAGAGTAACATCACCCCATCTAACAACCTGACCACAGAGTTCCTCAACCTAGATCCTCTCCTACATCAGCTACTCAGGCAAGACCATGCTTTAGACCTGGTTATCACTTGGAATTTTCCACACAGCGGTCTTTCACTTGCAGTTAATCCCTACCCACAATCTCCTATTTCCCACCTCTTACGATCCTGTCTGCTAACTGAATGTTTTGAGGTGATTTCCAGGCCCAGTCATTTCTCCTTTGCTCTCCTGATTCAGCTGGTCTCCTGACACCACTTGCTTTTCTCCCCAGTACTAGTCTCAAGAGTTCACTGAGGTTCACATCAAGATTTCGGATTCTTTTGCCCTGCCCCTTTCCTCTTCTGTCACCTAGTGTTCTGAGCCAGCTTGCCAGCTCCATCTCCCTAGCACCAGCCAGCCCCCCCGAGCCCCCCGCCAAGATCTTTTATTTGGTAGGTGACCTCTCCTTATTTCCTGAAGAGATCAACAAGCAGCCACGTTTTCTCGCTCCCATTTTTACTAAGAACCCATCTGTGAGGACGGATCAGACTTGCACTCTGGACCCTACTTACTCCCCATCTCCTTCAGAACTTTGCTCCAGCAGCTATCCTGGCTCATAGTTTTCTCTTCCTTCTCCTTTAAAACTTTTTTTGGGGTGCCTGGGTGGCTCAGGTCACGATCTCACGGCTTGTGGGTTTGAGCCCCGCATCGGGCTCTGTGCTGACAGCTCTGAGCCCGGAGCCTGCTTCGGGTTCTGTGTCTCCCTCCCTCTCTGCTCCTCCCCCAACTCGTGTTCTGACTCTCCCTCAAAAATAAACATTAAAAAAATAAAACCTTTTTCTTGATTTTCCCAATTCGGTTCTGACCATCTCTGCTCTCTTTTTCTCCACCTGTATCTGCTCCTTGTACGCAAACGTCCTCATGGTTTCGTCTGACACAGTTCCCTTCCTTCTCGCTGTCTTCCTGAATCACGTTCACCGCAGTGGTTTCTCGGGTTGCTCTCCCCTCTTCTTCACTCTAGTCCTACATCCCTCACTACTTCTGGAGATCAGCACCTGGATGTTGATTGACATGACAACTGCAGCACAGTTAAAAGCCCTCTATGACCTTCTCATTCTCCTGTCTTACGGGAATCAACCTGCCAGCCTCCCCGTTAACCCAATTTGCACCCCACAGACCTTCCCTGTCTTAATCACCAAACATAGTGCTCCCCACTTTTCCTAAAGCTTTGGCTCAAAAATCTTTAGCATATGAACTCATCCACTGAAACCCAAAGCTTTCTAATGTGGCTCTTCATGATTCATCCAGGCTGCTCTTTCCCTCTAACCACACTAAGTTCCAGCAAAATTGTAGTCGGAAATGAAATACAGGTCCACCTGGTGAGCTGCAGTAGGGAAAACTTCAATCTAAACTTGTTCTTTGTGACTTAACACCTGCCCTCATCTCTGCCCCAACCACCGGGACCTTTGTGGAGACAACCACTGTTCCTCCAGGACTAATTGGCCAAATCTGGATTCCTTTTCTTTTGCTATGTTTCAAATATACACAAAAGCAGAGAAAAAAGAAACAAGAAAAATGAACTCCATCATCATACTTCAAATATAATAAGCATTTTGCCAATCTTATTTCAACTACGCCAATCCCATTACTAAATATTTAAAAAAATTATATACCCATATAAGCAAAGTATCACTATAAACCATAAATGTGTATTATACCTGCCCCTTACCTCAGTAAATATTTTGTTTTTACAAATGTTAGCTATAAAGGGTGACCTCTATTTTTCACTCTGTATACATTTATATTGCTTGGATTTATTTATTTTTGATAATATTTACTACGTATGTAACTGAAAACCTTTCATAAAAGGACATAGAGGAAAAAAAATATATATCCTGTAGGTAAAACCAGAACAAATTATACTGAATTATAGTTTTTAGCTGAGGGAGAATAAGCTGCTATGTTTCTGTTAAACAACTATTTAACAGAGGAGGTCTGTTTTATGGCTTTGCTATCCTAAGTGCCGATGACCCAGCAGTGGCATCTGGGGACTTGTTAGAAATGCAGAATCTTGGGGCCCCCTCCAGGTCCACTGAAGCAGAATCCATATCTTAACACCATGTCTGGGTGACTGGAATACACAAGAAGGTTGAGAAGTGCTGTTTATGACATGATCAGAGGATCTCCATGTGAAAACACTGACTTAGTTGGGCTTCTAGGTGTGCAACTAAATGATTTTCATTATTTTACTGTCATGATGGATTTGAATCGAAGGCAGAGTTTCGTTGACATGTAACTAAGAAAAACCTGCTTTAGGAACCGATCTACCTTGTTCATTATCTTAGCTGTCAGAGAAAGATACCACATTGTCTTTAGAAGCTCAGCTGTGACCAACCACGTGTTTAAGAAATCTCTTGACAAGCCTAGAATGGGGCGGCGGTAGGGGAGAGGTACTACAAAGGTCGGAAAAGGTTTGGACTTTTTCCCCGTTGGTCTGTACAGTGAATCCTACTACTTATTCATAAATGTGTATTATATAAATACCCAAATAATCTGCCTATCAACAGAGTTTTATGCAGTGACCAGTCCAACTGACAGGAAGGCATGCAGGTGACACATTCTTCCACCAGCAATAGTGATTTAGGCTGTACTCTAATGACAGCACATTAACAAATGGCTGGCCATGGCTGGCCCATCAGGGACAATATAGAGCCATCAATATGGGGCCATAGGATAGTTCAAGTGTGCCCTCTTGGACAAGGAATATTAGTCTCTCTCCTGTTCATTATCTAGTCCTAAGTGATGAGGGTCATAGTGCTAATACTGTCAGTCTTAGCCCTACAGTAGTTAAGGTGGAGATGATACAGAAGTAATTGTTGACCCGCCCTTTCTTTCATATTCAATAAACGTTAGAGGAGTAGAAGGTGGGAAAGAAAGGAAAATTAGAGAAGTTTACAGATGAGTGGTCTAAAGATGAAGTCTTTTAAAGATTTATACACTAGGACTAAAATGTATAATTAGGACTAAAACGTCATATGTGCTCCCTTCAGATTTTTATGAATAAAGTCCTTCTCTTTCCAATATAAAAGTAACAGGCTCATAGAATGAAGATAGGGAAACTCCCACATTTGCTAATTTCTCTATGAATGTAAAGTGTGTTGCATATCAGTACAGTTACCTCCAATAGCAATGAGTCGGTCTCCCCGTTGAAGGTCTGCGAGTGCAGCAGGTGAGTTTGGGGCCACAGTCTCAATTATGACATGCCCAGCATACCCGTCAGTTGACTGGACAAGACGAAGTGTAAGTCCGACACTCTGTAAATTCCCCTTTATTAATTCAACCTTTGATAAAGAGAAAAAAATGAAAACAGTCAATGAGCTCACGGAAGGGGAGTGAGAAAACATTAACCCACACCTAACGATACCATCCAGAACTGCTACCTATGTTGTACTTAATCTTAATAAAAAACTGAGATCCCGTTGTGAATGTAACTCTAAATCTTGTGTTTTTAAAAATTTTTTTAAAGTAGGCTCCATACCCAGTGTGGGGCTCGAACTGATGACCCTGAGATCAAGAGTCATATGCTCCACCAACTGAGCCAGCCAGGCGCCTCTAAATCTTGTTGTGAAACATAATGGGAAATATCTTCTATGTCATTAGATGTTTTTATGATGTATTGTTAAATTATCTTTGGGAGGGCAAAAGAAAAGAGTTTACATTTGTTTTATTAAGAGGTATCTTATTAATGAGATATCCTTTTCTAACTCATCAAGATCATTTTGTTTTCTAAACAAATGTCACCCAATTTATCAGTGTGTCCCAGATTCACATTGTCTGTGAACTAAAAAGACAACACCACATGTTATCTATCCTCATTCAAATTACTGATTAAAAAAAAAAAAATTGAATGCTGCATCCTTTCAAGATGACAAGAATTCAATCTGTGTTTATTAAATAAATTACAGATCAGTCTAATTGTATTGTCATTTAGCCTGTGTTTCTCAGTTCTGGTCTTCAAGATATCTCATGAGGGTCTTTGCCAAATAACCTGCTGATACCCAAATATAACACTGTCTGTATTGCTTTAATAAATAAATTCCACTTAAAAGCTAGAAATTTAATTCTCCTACCTAATGGTGTTGGCCAATAAGAGAGACCTTACTGGAACTGTTTGGGTTTTTTGGTTTGTCTATTTTTAATTTTTTTTTTTCAACGTTTATTTATTTTTGGGACAGAGAGAGACAGAGCATGAACGGGGGAGGAGCAGAGAGAGAGGGAGACACAGAATCGGAAACAGGCTCCAGGCTCTGAGCCATCAGCCCAGAGCCTGATGCGGGGCTCGAACTCACGGACCGCGAGATCGTGACCTGGCTGAAGTCGGACGCTTAACCGACTGCGCCACCCAGGCGCCCCTGGTTTGTTTATTTTTGAGAGAGTGAGTGCAAGCAGGGGAGGGGCAGAGACAGAGGAGGATAGAGGATCCGGGGCAGGCTCTGTGCTAACAGCGGACAACCCTCTGCGCGGCTTGAACTCCTGAAACTCATGAACCGTGAGATCCTGACCTGAGCCGAAGCTGGACACTTAACCAATTGAGCCACCCAGGCGTCCCTGGAAATTGTTTTTTAATATGGATGTTAACAGATTTTGCAGAGTTGCTTTTAGATTAAGGAGAATTTTAATCACATTATCCTCAAGAACTGGGAAATGAAGTCAAGTTTTTGATTATCTAAAGGTTTACAAACAAAAAACAACCCTTCCAAAAAACGTATGTATTAGAATCTCCAAAAAACATTTGTCCAACCAATTTTTGCCTTATGATATAATAAATAATTACCTTATAATGTTAATAGTGTTTTTTCACTTAAGCCCTTAAGAATGCATTCTTTCAAATCCACAAACATAAATATATTTTTAATATACAGAGTGCCAAAGCTAAAGCTTACAATGTAATTTTTTTTTCTAATATCAGAAAGTTAACAGTACCAAATGGGCAAGAAACTAAATTGTATGAGTCTGAGAACTGTAAATTTTAAAAACTATCCCTTGGAATGTGTACTTTTTTTTTTTTTTTTTTTGTGATTTACTCTTTGTTCTTAACATGGAACTTAAGGTTGATTTAAACAGCCAGGAATCAACCAATATAATTTAACATATTAAGAAAACAAAGGAGAAAACCATATAAATAATTCAACAGGATTATTTATAAATAATAAACAAAACAAAACAAAACAAAAAAAAAAAAAACAACCAAAAAAAACCCCCCAACATCCACTCGTGATAAAAGTCCTGAACTAGAGGCCTGGGTGGCGCAGTCGGTTAAGCGTCCGACTTCAGCCAGGTCACGATCCGCGTCCTTGACGTGAGTTCGAGCCACGTCTGATGCAGGGCTCTGAGGCGATGGCTCAGACTGGAGCCTTTTCGATTTGTGTCTCCTCTCTCTGCCCTTCCCCCGTTCATGCTCTGTCTCTCTCTGTCCCAAAAATAAATAAACGTTGAAAAAAAAAAAAAATTAAAAAAAAAAAGTCCTGAACTAGAAAAGCAAGGGAACTCTTAAACCTGATTGTGGGTACCTACAAAAATCTGCAAGTAACATAATACTGAAGGTTTTCTACCTAAGATCAGGAACAAAGAAGGATTTCTGCTCGTATTATACCAGAGGATACAGGCAAGGTGATAACATAAGGAAAGGCATAAAGATTGGAAAGAAGAAAGAAATGGTCTTTATTTGCAGATAACATGACCTTCTACATGAGTAATCCCAAGAAATCTACAAAACAACTATTAGAACTAATAAGTGAAATTAGGTCACAGACTACAATGTCAATATAGAAAAGACAAATGAGTGTCTATTAGTAACAAACAATTAGAAAATAAAAAAAAATAGGCCAAATTTGTTTACAATAGCATAAAAAATATTTAGGGTTAAATTTAATGAAAGGTGTGCAGGACTTGTACACTAAAAACTATAAAACATTGCAAAGGAAAATTAAAGAAGACCAAAATAAATGGAGAAAGATACCACATTCACAAACTGGAAAACTCATTACTGTTAGGATGCCAATTCTTCCCAAATTTATCTACAGATTCAAATGGAAATCTCTACAGGCCTTTGGAAAGGCAAAGTCAAAGAGAGGTAAAGGACCTAAATTAACCAAACCCGTCCTTAAATTGAACAAGGATGCAGGTTGTACACTCTCTGATTTCAAGGCTTACTACATACAGCACACATGACATAGATAAATCTCAAAGATGTGGAGTGAAAGGAGTCGAACCCCAAAAAACCATATGCTCTTATGATTCAATTTGTATGAAATTCTAGGGAAGGCAAAAGTATAGTGACAAAAAGCAGATTAGTACTTGTCAAGGACTGGGGACTGGAGACTGCAGACTGAGGGCCTACAGTAGCACAAATAAAATTTTCAAGGTAATGGGGATATTCTACATCTTGATTAGGGTGGAGGTTATATGACTGCATACAATGACCAAAATTCACCAACTGTATACCTGGTGAATTTACTGCATTTAAAGTACACCTTAATAAAGCTACTAAAGCAAAAACGAATAAAACCAATATACCATTTTTGTCTTATGATACTTATGTCTTTTTAAAGATATTATTAGATTACTGGTAATTCATTCGGATAGCCCTTAGTTTTCCAATTTACTTAATTTAATAGGAACAACTTGGGATGAATATAGATGGTCCTAAAGTCAATCAGGAAGGAGAGCAACATTTAGATAGTTTTTCCATTTAACTTACGTCAATCAAATGAATACTGACTCTTAAGTACAGATAGCTGGAAATACTACATTCTAGATACAAGATTAAACCAGACATAAATGTAAGAAGCAAGAACAAAATGTGTCTGGAAAAAAAACACTTAAAAATGTAACTTGGGGCGCCTGGGTGGCTCAGTTGGTTAAGCGTCCAACTTCGGCTCAGGTCATGATGAGTTCGAGCCCTGAGTCAGGTTTTGTGCTGACAGCTCAGAGCCTGGAGCCTGCTTCAGATTCTGTGTCTCCCTCTCTCTCTCTCTCTGCCCCTTCCCCACTCATGGTGTCTCGCTCTCTCGCTCTCAAAAATAAACATTAAAAAAAAAAGTAACCCAAATTTTAGTTTTATGTACTGTTATATCAAAAAAGAATATGAATAAACTTTTAATTTTTATCAAATACATGCATATGGTTAAAAAAATCAAATACACAAAATAACTTCTACCAAAATGCAACAGTCCTCTCTTTCCAAGCCCCTCACTCCCACACCACAGCAACCACCTTCCAACTCTTTTAGTTGTTTAGGGATTACTTTTTGTTCTCTAGATAATACATCATTATTTCCTAATGTATCAAATTTTAGACAATCTGCTGACTTCCTCCTGTAACAGACAAGGATGCAGCCCCATATTCCTTTCCCCAAATTATAGTAGTGTTACATCATTTTTAGTTCTATGTAACCTCTTTATAATTTTAATCAGTATACTTCTATTTATTTCCTCTTTCTGATACTAAGACTTCTATCTTTCTCCTCACCTCTCCTCTTTACACCTTCTACCTTCTAAAACTCTACCATCAAAATTGAATAGCTATTATATTAATTTTCAAACTATAATTAAGCTATCAAGTTTGATTGTAAAAGCTAAAAATTAGTGGTATTTACAATTATTATAACAATATAAATATTGTTTATTGTAAAGCTGAGCATTATCCCATTTTCTGTCTTGTACAGACTTTTTACCTGGGTTTTTTTTTTTTCTTTCAACAACACAGCTTTCACTTTAAATGTAGAATTTATGTTAAGTATGGCTTCTATGATTAGCTCTTAAATTCATCTATCCATTTGTTTACAAATTATTTAATGCTCAGTTGAAGGGAAGTTTTTTTTTTTAAGATTTTTTAATGTTTATTTATTTTGGGAGAGAGAGGGAAGGAGGGAGGGAGGGAGAGGAAGAGGGAGAGAGAAGTCTGACAGTGGTTTAGTTCCTGCTTCCAATTTGTCTCTAAGGCAGAGCTGCTCTCCTGCTAAAATCTAAGCAGGGCTTAACCCACAAAACCACGAACAGTGGCCCTCACACCTGCCTGTGGCACCCATGCAACACCACGGTATCCCCAGAACAAGCACCTCTTTTTTGCTTCAGCTAGTTGTAATAGGCATCGGTTCCAAACCAGTTCTAGCTTCCCAGGCACTGTGTTAGAGACTATCATAGACAGTATCTCATTAAACTCAAAGTGCTGTATCTATTAACCTGGAAAGCTACAAATACATCATAAAAGTAGGAAACAGTGTTTTCTCTGTGGCTTAGCCTGTGTCAATCGGCCTGAATTTTGTTAAAACCAAAAAAGT